TATTATATAATATATATATATATATATATATATATATATATATATATATATATATATATATATATATATATATATATATATATATATATATATATATATATATATATATATATATATATATATATATATATATATATATATATATATATATATATATATATATATATATAATGTAAGCAGATAAGCATAGGCGTAGCAGGTACTATGGCAGTTCGACGCAGTCACGATCTCATAGTCGTGAGCGCGGGCGTGAGAAAAGGAGAAAGGGACATAAGGGTGACCAACATCGATCTGAGTCATTCGAGTCCAAAAATGACGTGGCCTGCAGAGTGCGCCACAGTTATAATCACACTACGGAGGAGTGCCATCGTTACGGGGGCTCAGCAGGTGCGGCTTCCAAGCAAAACTCGCACCGTAAGTGAAACGGCGCGGTGGTCCCGGTTATATCCGGTGCTGTGAGTACGTGGGTGTATGCGGACTCTGGTTGCACATTTAACCTTGTGACAACCCACATGCTCTCCGAGCTTGACATTACAGCTCGGAATCAATGCAAAAGGGTCGCTGTTAGAATGTATTGATGATACGGGGACGCTGCGTCTTAAGTACTCGGTACCATGGTCATCTTGGGCGGCGCGTACGCGTTGGCGAAAGGGCATCCGTTCTATGTGGTTAGAAATATCCCATTGGGTTGTGATTTGCTCATTGGGTATGGCCAAATGAAGCGATTCAGGTGGGCATCAATGCGGAGCGCTGACACGTTGTTGTTGGTGCCGCAATTGGTGATCAAATTGTTGTGGCTAAAGGATACGAATGTTCTTTTGAGTCCACAAGTCAAGATTCTCCTTGGGTATCGGCATCGGCGACCAAAACCGCGAATGTAACCCGGGCGAAGCGCGGTAAGAGGAGGATGAAAACAAGGCCTAGGCCTCGGCGTACACACAATCGTGTAGCTGGAGGGGCTAACAAAGGAGAAACGCATAGGACGTATGACAATAGGTTATCGCATTAATCAATATTCTCTATCCCTGAACGCAGGGATGGAGGAAGTGATATTGAGGACGCGACATCGACGAATGTATCGGACGTAAGTGATAGTCCGGATAAATTGTCCGATGTATCTAGTGATGACAGCATCATGTGACCGACGATGGGTCACCGGCCACCGAAGCCGGTGGCCCTCCGCAGGAAAGCGTGACGTAAGTATACGCGTATGGGAATAGATATGCCGTGCCAGGCTGTAGCTGCGCACGGTGGAGTGGATGGCCTGCCAGGATTACTCTCTATCTCATCAACACCAGATAGCAATCTGACCGTTACCAGTATGACTGAGAGTGAACTTGACTATCCCAGTTTATTCCCAGACTCGTCGGATGACGACGATGACTGTGGTCCACCGGCCAATACAAGTGGCTTAGGGCACATAACAAGCGTACCTACCTTGCTAGGAGGGCACAGCGAACAATCGTGAAAGGCACAAATCTGCCTGCCAAGCAACAGGTTCTTTCCAGCTTTGCAGGTTAAACGGCAGCTGACGGCTTTGCAAGTAAGCACCCCAGGATGTAATAGCCGGGCCTCCACATTAGACTCTATGTTATAAACGTACTCTTAAGCAGTACGTAAATTATAAACGTACCCTTAATAGTACGAGGA